AGACTTGGTAAGCAATGATTAATTTTACTAGAAAATATTCCCTAAGGGAAATGAGAAACAAGGAGAAACCCACACTTTTAGCTGGGTGTGATGGTGTACACCTGTAATCCAAGCAACAAAGGAGTCTGAGGCAGGAGGATGGCAAGTTTCAGGTCAGCCTCGGCAACTCAGCAAGACCCATTTTCAAAATTTAAAAATAGAAAGGACTGGGGATATAACTCAGTAAAGTGTCCCTGGGTTCAATTCCCAGGGAGGGAAGGAAGAAGAAGGAGGAGGAGAAGGAGGAGGAGGAGGAGGAGGAGGAGGAGGAGGAGGAGGAGGAGGAGGAGGAGGAGGAGGAGGAGGAGGAAGAGGAGAGGAGGAGGAAGAGAAAAAATCTGCCATGAGCAAGCTATGGCATTAACATAGACCAAACACATTCTGTGTTTTGACAATGTCAGATTTAGTGAATACCAATAAATTTATAGGCTATACCACTTTCAGGTCACCTGGTAGTCAGAAGGTGAGCAAACACAAGTTCTTTTATTTAATATTAATTTCCAATATCTATATTCCAGTCACACATCATACTTGACCCAATATATTACATGCATACATACATACACATATATACCCTGTGGCTGTTTATTTTATATATATATATATATATATATATATATATATACTATATATATACATATATATATATATATATATATATATATACTATATATATACTTATATATAGTGCATATAAAGATGGTGATGAAGTAGGGATGTGGTGGTATGGAAAAGTAAGAGAAGAAAATAGTAACACTTTTAAAGATCCTTCCCATCATCTATTTTGTCTGATTTCTTTCTTTATTTTCTTCGACATAATCATAGTTATTTTAAGGTCTATTTGCATGTAGACCTTGCATCTATTTGCTAGGATTTCAGTCACCTATAGTCTATTTCCGTTGTGTGCTTTCTTGATCTCTTCCATCTCACTTTTGATACGCAATATCCCAGGATACGACTTCTCCCTCTACACACTCCACACATACACATACACACACACAACTCTCCCGTCCACAACAGCCTTCTGCCTCATAAGTTCTTCCTCCTTATCATTTCCACAGCTTAGAATCAGCTCACATGCCTTCCTCTTATCTATTCATAAATGCTCCCACCAAGGAGGAGTGCAATTTATAGCTGTTATGATTTGGATATGAGGTGCCTCCCCAAAGCTCCTGTGTTACTGCAGGAATGTTCAGGGATGAAATGATTAGTTTATGAGAGCTGTAGCCTAATCAGCGGGTTAATCATTTGAATGGACTAATGGGGTACTAACTGTAGACAGGTAGGTGTGGCTGCAGGAAGTAGGGCACTGAGTTTATATTTCCCTGGCCCTTCACGTGCTCTTTCTCTGCTTCACAGTTGCCAGTTTTTCCTCTGCCACACCCTTTGTCCATGATGCTCTGCTCACCTTCAGCCCAGAGCAATGGAGTTGGCTGACCATGGACTGAACCTCTGATACCGTGGTCCCAAAATAAATCGACCATACATTGTCTAAGTTGGTCTCTTCAGGTTTTTTGGTCACATCAATGAACACCTAACTAACACAATAGTTATAAAAGAAGCAACATTGCCTTGGAGGAGTCAGCCCCAAATTCACAGGCAATGCTTCTCAGGAGTAAGTAACTCCTATATTTTTAAAGAGAAGAATTTGTTATGTAACTAGCATTCTAGAAATATCCTTGTGCTCCTTTCTACAGACATGCCCCAGGAGCAAGCACTATACTAACTTGTTGGTTTTGTCTGGCTTTGTACTTTGTAAAAATGGTATCATGCAGGTGGGCATGGTGGCACACACCTATAATCCCAGCTATTCAGGAGGCTGAGGCTGGAAGATCTCAAGTTCAAAGCCTGCCTCAGCAACTTGATAACAATGTGTCTCAAAATTTAAAACAAAAAAAACAAACAAAAAATCCATAGAAAGGGCTGGGGATGTAGCTCAGTGGTTAAGCACCCCTGGATTCAATCCCTGCTACCAAAGAAAAGGAAAAAAATGGCATCATATATGTACTCTATTGCATTAGTCTTCTCTGAATCAATGTCATGTTTTCAAATTCATCCACATAGTAGTTGTCAATGATTTGTTCTTTTTGCTGTGTAATATTTCACAATGAAAGTACACTACAATTTGTTTATTCATTATACTATACATTGTCATTTGGGAAGTCTTAGGTTTTCAAGTATTAATAATAGTGTTGCTATTCTAGTGTGTGTGGTCCAATATGGTAGCCTCTAAACATTGTGTCCATTGAAATTTTAACTTTAGTGAATCAAAATTAAATAAAACTTAAAATTCATCTCCTTGAAGTTTCATTAGCCACATTTCAAGTACTGTTTATGAAACATCACCATGGCAGAAACTTCTATGAGCTAGCATCATTCTAGTGCCTGTCTTTTATTGAACACATGAAATTCAGTTCATTTTTTACAGATTTTAATTCTAGGGTAAAATTCTCAATTCTATCTATTTTGTTGATCTCTTCCTCTGTTTTCTTTAACATAAGAATCATTGGTATTCTAAGGTCTATTTATATGCAATGCTATGATTCCAGTCACCTATAGTCTGTTCCCACTGGATGTTTCTTCTCTTAATTCTTAACAATATTCTCTTGCCTCTTCACATGTCTTGTCATTTTTAAGTGTATATAAGTGAATATTTGACTTTTAACTAGAAACCTGTTATACAAATAGGACAACAGCCAGCTAATCCCAACCTATTTATTTATTTTTAAATTTATTTATTTATTTTAATTAGGTCTATATGAGAGCAGAATGCATTTTGATTCATAGTACACAATTACAGCACAACTTTTTATTTTTCTGGTTGTACACAATGTAGCATCACACCATATGTGCAGTCATACATGTACCTAGGGTTATGATGTCCATCTCATTCCACCATCTTTCCTGCCCCCATGCCCCCTTCCCAATCTATTTAGGGATTGACCTGGGTCGAGGTTAAGTTCATCTATTTCTAATTTGCCCCTGTAATTTTGATGTGACTCCCTCGGGATTTTGTTTGAGAACTGGTAATATCAATCTTGTAAGTCTTAAAAGATGGAAGGGAATTCAACTCTCCCCATGAGAAGTTCCCAGACCCACTCTCCATCTTCCTGACCCATGCAACTTCAGATCCTGAAGGAAGCGCTTGTTTTGAGTAGATCCCTTCCCATGACATGTCTTTTGTTCCCTTAACATCACGAGACTATTAAAAGAATTCACTCTGCCTTTCAAAAACTTTTGGTGAGCTTTGCCAACCTCCTGCAGAACTCCTAAGTCTTGCAAATACTTTTGAAAATTGGCCATGTATCTGGGGTCTTTTAAGTTTTCCATGCCATTTTATTTTCATGTGACCTTTAAATATTTTGCTGACCTCTTTCCTTATCTATCATTTTTTCATTAGCTACATCCCAGCCCATGTGCAGAACTGGTAAGTACTTGCAGAGAATAAAGATGACTGCCCATGTTCATCTTACCTCAGAAAAGTTCTATCCTCTCGGGGATTTTATTGGTTTACCTTGTCCTGGTCATTTCCACAGCTCTCAGATACATTTAACATATGGTTGTTGTAATTTAGCTGACTTTTGCTAGTTGTAGCAAGAACAATCATTCCTTATATGTGCTCAGAATGGAAATTCTCATCTCTAGTAGGGTTTTTTTTTTTTTTTGCCTTAAAATTTATTTTAATCATATCATGTAGTTCAAATATTTTATTTTTGTTAATACTGTAATAGTATATTTTCCCATTCATTTTACTTTCAACTTTTCTGTATCTTTACATTTGAGGCCCTTGTAAATAATAAAATGGACATGAGTTACTAGAGACCAGGGGGTGGAACACTATGATTTGAATATAGTTCATCTTCTCTAACACTAGTGTTGGAATTTAATTCCCCATTATGAGGTTTTAAGAGGGTGTAAACTAAATCTGACCACGGTGTTTAGAAGTGGGTCCTTTAGGAGGGATTAGGATCTGATAAGGTACAAGCCCCATGGTTGAATACTGGGTAGCTTATAAGAGAGAGAATTCAAAAGATACATACACATACATATGTGCACACATCTTGTCTCTCACCATGTGATACCCTGTGCTACCTTGGGACTGCCAGCAAGGAGGCCATCATCAAATGTGGCCTTTTGAACTTGGTCCAGAACTATGATGCAAAATAAACCTCTTTTCTTGATACCTCACCCAGTTTGTGGCATTGTTATCAGGAACAGAAAATGAACTAATATGTAACATCAGTAAGAGAAATTACACCCTCTCTGTGAGGCACTGGCTCCTAAAAGTGAAGAGCTAGAACATGGTCCGTTTCTATAGTAATTTTGAAGAGTCGGTCACACCCAGGAGAATGCTCCAGAGGCAAACTGCAGTGCTTAAAGTGTGGGAATTGGTGTCTCTGGAGGAGACCTAGGAGCAATGTACTAGTCACACTATAAAACAGATTAAAAGTTTTTGTTTTGCACTCTCAATCACTTTTTTTTTGAAGAGAGAGAGAGAATTTTTAATATTTATTTTTTAGTTATTGGCGGACATAACATCTTTGTATGTGGTGCTGAGGATCGAACCCAGGCCGCACGCATGGCAGGCCAGCGCGCTACCGCTTGAGCCACATCCCCAGCCCCTCTCAATCACTTCTCAATGAGAGATTAGATGAGGGTATTTTTCCACGGACAACTGAGATTTGACCAAGCAGAAAAGATAATTGGAAGCCTCCATTTCCCCCTCCTCTCCCAACTCTTCTTGAGGATTGTGGGAAACCCACAATCTCCTAAGGAACTTCTGGCTCTGACCAACAGTGAAGTGAGCAGTTGCTAATGGAAGAAGGAAGTCCAAAATCAACACTGGAAAGCACCATTATAGACTAGACACAACCCCCTTCCAAAAATAATACTAGGGGAAACCACACTGAGAGGAGGAAGCTGCACCGGTCATTTTAAGGAACGAATCTCAGAGACCTCAGTTGGATTCTTGTGTTTCTAGTTTATTCAACAGAAAAAAATATTGACCCACTGTGGCTTTGGTGCCTACTTCACCCCATGAGCAACCAGGATCAAGCAGCTTCTATCATATCACACAGAGAAGAAGAAAAGACAAGGGCTTGCTCCAGTTTGCCATCCACAGAGCTTAGGCGCCTTGATCCACAGGAGTGTTTTCTTCTTTCATAGAGAGAGCACTTGTTGGAAGGGTTGTTAGTTGACATAGGAATGGTTCCCTTCAGTGGGCATAAAGGGGTTGTCAGAAGTAAGAGGAGTGTGTGTTGGGAGGCATCTTATTTTCAACTTCCCTCTTCAGACCAATTTCACCCGCCCTGGGGCAGTTCCCATACAGAACTCAAATTCACCCCTTGTTGAGTCACAGTTTGCCCATTATAGGTGACTGACATCTTTCTGGTGGGGACAGTAACTTTCTCAGGGAACACAGACTTCATATTAGGGGCCATTATCTTACTGAGGGTCTCTGTCTGAAAATGCTCAAGGGCTTCTGTTGTCCCTGCAGCAGTCACAGACTGATGGTCCACTGAAGTCATAGTCCTTGCCCCAGGGACCTCAGTGCCCCGTAGAGCTACAGTGTGATTTCCAAAGGATACTGTTTCCCTCCCAAGGGTCATGACTCCACCTCCAGGAACTGAAGTTATATTTTTATGCTTTCCGCGGACTTCAGGAGCCTCAGCTTTTCTTCCTGGGGGGGGGGGGAATGTTAATAATATCAGTGCTCAATGCCTTTGTCGCAGCCAGCCTTTCAGAATCAGATACTGAAGAATTCATAGCAGATGAGAACCCAAACTGTGGTAAAGGAGTTGAGCTGACCTCTAGAGAAAATCATCAGCAAAGCATGAGATCCCTACCTCTCCCTTCCTTTCCTGCTAATTACAGGAAGGACTAGAACCCCTCCAGTGCAGAAGGACCTTGCTCCAAAAATCCAGAATTGGACTTCTGACTGCACCCCCAGCAAGTCCTGTCCCTCAAGGCCTTATTCCTTACTAGTTGAATCCTTAAGCAGAAACCTCCTGCATCTGTACAGGCACCAGGAACAACTCTGAGGACAAGGAGCTCTAGATAGCATGTTGTAGACAATGAGGTTGGAGCCCACCTGAAGACCTGACCTGCCTGAGCTCCAATCTTGTCCTTAAAAGGAGGATTGTAACCCATCTCTAAGGATTTTCAGCTCTCGCACGCTGGGTTCCGTTTCCTAACCGCCAGGGAAACCTCTACTTTTAAAAAAGAGATAGCAAAAGAAACCAAATTCCCTTTTCTAGCCCTGGCCCATGAAAGTAGAAGGAAACAGAGAAATAAACTAACATATATTGAGTGCTGACAATGAGCTAGAGCAGTTTTGGTTCCATATCTTATTTAGTTCTCATAAGGATGAGTGTAAGAGTTATTTCCATTTTACAGATAGGGCAAAGGAAGCTCAAGAAAGTCAAATAAGGTTCAAGATTACAGAATACACTAGCTGACATCAAAGTTTGTCTTTCTTCGGTTTCATGTCACCTCATCAAAGAATTTAGACCTAGCAGAATGGACCCTCCCAGTGCCTGGTTATACAAATTCCAATCATATTCCTGGGTCCTTACTACTTACCGTCTTGCAGCAGGAGGTAACTCAATGTGTATAAAAGGGGGAAAGGGCCACTGCCACAGAAAGCTCCCTTGACGTCATCCATGTCCAATGTCCACACCATGGCCCCCCCAAAAAGCTCTGCCTTCACAAACTTTGCCTGTAAAAGTAATGGTCAGTCAACATGCTGTACTGCCCATCCTCCAGACTGGGTACAACAGCAAAACTAGAAGATGAACTGTCAAGAGGCAACGCAGCAGGTGGTTTAGGGTGTAACCTGCATTTAACTCTAGCCTCTATCACTTGTTGGCTATGGGATGTGGGATAAGTTACTAAATTCCTATGTGTCCCAGTTGCCTCATTTGTAAAAAACTAAAAATGAATAATAACAATTTTAGGATAAAAAGAATTCCTACATGCACATACAACATGGAAAAAACCTGCAGCGGGCACCGTGGTGCAAGCCTGTAATCCCAGCAACTCAGGAGGCTGAGGCAAGAGGATTGAAAGTTCAAAGCCAGCCTCAGCAAAAGCAAGGCACTAAGCAACTCAGTGAGACCCTGTCTCTAAATAAAATATAAAATAGGGCTTGGGATGTGGCTCAGTGGGCGAGTGCCCCTGAGTTCAATTCCCAGTACTGGAAAGAAAAAAAAAAAAAAAGAAGGATGAAAACTTGAAGACATATGCTAGTGAAATAAGCCAGACCAAAAAAAATGAAATAAAAATAAATAACAAATACTGTCTTGTTCTACTTATATGAGTAGACTCAGAGGAGTCAAATTCATAGAAACTTACAAATCATAGATCTGCTCAAAAAATTCCCCTTAAAATGCCCACAGATTAAAGACTAAATTCCTTCACCAGCACTTACATCTTCATTAAAAAAAAAAAAAAAAAAAAAAAAAACCCTCTATTTCGCCTACATTCTTTAAACCTGTGACAAACTTTCTACCCCACCAAGTCTTGCCCCACCTCAGGAAACCCTCCCTGACTTCCCCATCCCTGCCATGTGACAGTAATTTCAATGGAGCGCTTAGGATGATCTACCCTGTATTGGTATTTATCTGTTGTACAATCACCTGGTCCGAACTGAAAAGAGAAGATTGTCACTAAAAAGCTGTGTGACTGAGAAATATGTACTCCCTCAGAACTGAGATTGCTTATTTTCAAAATTAGAGAATTGGACTCGATGGGATTATGAGATGCTGCACACATACTTCTCATTCATATTCTCTCTCTCTCTCTCTCTCTCTCTCTCTCTCTCTCTCTCTATCTATCTATCTAAATGAGTGTCCATAGAAGCCAATGAGAATCTATATGCTGGAGCAAGAAAGAAGTCAGGTCTCACCTTCTCCTGGAAGCTCCTGATGTCGTCATAGCCAACCCACTCCTTCCCTTTGTAGGCATACGGGACATGCTGATAGCCAATCCAGTCCTTTCTTGCTTTCTCAAGAAAGGAGCAAATCTGCCAAGAGGACCACAGGTGAGGTCCATGAAGTGCCATGGAGAGAAGCACCATGCCCTGGGACAGAGAATGCCAGAGACCTCCCCAGGGAATGAGGATGTAGGCTTTCCCACCGCTCACAAAGGACCTCTTTCCCCCCCCCCTCTCTCTCCCAAGTAAGTTTCTCCCTTTACCTGTTTCTTCCTTGGTATTCATGATGGAAAAAGAGAGAGAACAAGGACTGCATGAGCTGCCTAAGAGGCCAAGCCAGGGTCTGGTAAATAATACCAGCATCAAAGTTCTAAGAGGGTCATACCTAACCCTTGACCAGACCTATACCTTTTTCAGAGTATTTTCATAAACAAGTCTCTCCTCAGTTCATTTGCTCTCAATACAAACTTGACCACATAGGCAGTAATTAAACTAGCCTTGGTCCTCTAGAGATTTAAAGGTCCTGAAGGCCGGGACAACCAGGTTGCTACAATCCATCAAGTATGGTGCCCACTGGATGCTCGACATTGTGCTGGAAACTATACTGCAAGGAAGTAAAGGGGTTCAAGTTGTGCTACAGGGTTAATGTCTAAGCCATTCTTTTTTCTTCAGAGCTTTAAATATTCTATTAAAGTCTCTTTGACACATGATGTCCTTCCAAAACAGTATTTCAACTATGCCACCATTCATAACCATGCTTCACTGAATTAACAGGAAAATACCTCCAGCCATCCAGCACAGAGCAGGGTTTGGAGGGACACTCAGCACTTCCATTACTCCCTATGGGAAGGTTCTAGTTCTGCATCTGGTGCCCTCCACATCTGTGTCTTTGCACGCCAGTCCTATACCTGTGCATCAGGATTCTCCTGTGCTTTGAATCTGCTCAGAGTCCACCTGCTCCATAAGACTTTTCCAGATCTCTATTGCCACACACTCAATTGCCTCTTATCATCTCCTCTCATGTCTTACATTCCCTTGGGTACATGTCTATTAAGGGGGGCATTGGAGTAGAGGAAAAAGAACCAGTAATAAAAGATATATTGGAATTGCCTCAAAATAACCTTGTTAATGGGAAAGCAGGAGGCAGAGAACAGAGAAGAAATAGGATTGGCCATGGATTAATAACTGAGGTTGGGAGCTACACAGAAGTCCCTAACCCCATTACCTCATAATAAGCCAAGATGCCAGCTTGCTTGGTGTACTTCCCTGGAGACGCTGGTCCTGTTGCTATAGCCTGCAACCCATTGCCAGAGGGTTCGAGGAGGTGAAAGGTGCGCCCATAGGTGGGGAACCCCATCATGAGCTTCTCTGAAGGTGCCCCAAGGTTCCGCCAGTAATTCATAGCATATGCCTAAAGGTAGAAGAACATAACCCTCCCTGTTACTAAGTGCCAATGTCCTGGGCTCAGTGAAAGATGTCTGGGCCACTTGAGATCTTCCCTTCTCTTACCGAAGATTTCGGGTCCTCAGGAAAAGAGTACAGGGGGCTATTGTGTCCTGTGAACTTTTCCCAGCTTCCATGAAAGTCATAAGACAAGACATTGATAAAATCCAGGAGTCTGAAAGACAAGGCACAGAAAAGGAGATGCAAAGGTTGGGCCGGGCAAAGTTTTAATTCAGATCTTCATAGTGCTAACTAGCTACAGAGGTGCACGTTGGTCACCTGGGCGTCCCTGCTCTTCCTGCCTATGGGGCCTGTCCGGGCTGTGCCAGACACTGAGAGACGGAAAAAACTGCTGGTTAGGGATAGCTGTGCGTCAGGGTCTATGAATCCTGAGAGTATCTGAGGAGGTAGCCAGGAATCAGACAAGAAAGCAAATACATACAGGCCTTACTTGTGCTATCAGAGGTCTGCAGAAATCACCACGAGTAAGAGCAGCACTGTCCTATAGCAGTAGAAACGCTTTTGTCCTTCTACCCCTCAAGGAGCCACTGGAACCCACCCCTCCAGAAGACTTTCATAATGATCAGGTGGACATGAGCATGTGCCAGGTCAGAGGTGTAAGGATTTACACTGATCACCTAATTTAATTTTATCTGGCCAATTCCCTAAGTACCACGCCTTTTTCTATTTTCAAGCGGAAGAATTTGAAACTCAGATGGAGTAACTAATTTGCCTAATGTCACCCAATTATGTGAAGGCAGGACTCTCAATCCTGCCTAGCTACAAGATTCACACTAACCTAGAATGAATGAATGAATGAATAAAAGATTCCCACAAACCAACTCCGTTCTCACTGGGTCCCTTGCCTTTCCTCCCACACTGAAACAGCTCTCTCTAGTGCAATCACAATCAGAAACCCCACATCCTCTCTTTTTTCTGAATCTGTTTCCTCATTTGTAAATACATTATTGTTGAGATTCAAGAAAATTTGCACACAGCCAGCTTGTTCAGAAAGATTTATGTGCTGTTCATGTTTACCTTTTTAACCTTTGCCATGGAGATCTGATCTGAAAACTCTGTGTGACTAGGAATTCCTGTTTGGGGCTTTGTGGCTCATGGCTGTCAGCTCTTCTGCCCTCTGCTGCCAGCATTTGCTCTGCTCTGGGGAGGATGGGGTGGGGTCCATGGCATTCTCTCCTGTGAGATCCAGCAATGGGCCATGCAGAAGATTCTACCGATGATAATGTTGTCGTGGGCCAGTACTACAGCATCTCCCCGTGATCTTCTAAAGAAAGCCCAAGGTATGTGTAATGGAGCTGACTCTTGTCCTCACCTATGCTCCTCAGCCCACCCCAAACCTCACAGACACCAGGGCAGGTACATGGCAAGCTCAGGGACAGTGCTTGTTATGATGTAGATATTAGGTGTTCCCTCTAAAGATCTTGTGTGAGACAATACAAGAAAGCATAGAGATACAATGATTGGGTTATAAAAGGTTTAACCTAATCAGTGCATTAATCCCCAGATAGGGATTAACTTGGTGGTGACAGGGTATGGCTGCAGGAAGTGGGTCCCTGGGGGTATGTCTTTGGGGTTTATATTTTGTCCTGGCGAGGAGCACGCTCTATCTCTCTGCTCCCCGGTGTGATGTCTTACGCTGCTTTCCTCCACCACACCTTTCCACCATGATATTCTGCCTCACTTTGAGCCCGAAAAAAAATGGAGCCAGCTGTCTATAAATTAAGACCTCTGAAACCATGAGCCCTGAAATAAACATTTCCTCCTCTATTTTCTTGTCAGGTCTTTTTGGTCACAGCAGCAAAAAAAAAAAAAAAAAAAAAATGCTGACTGAAACAGTGTTTGAGCAGCACTGGGTTCTGGGCTCAAGATGCCCCCTTCCCTCTAATGTCTTTCCCACGACACCCACTCACCTCCCTAGAAGGTTTACATCATAAGATGTTTGGATGATGTGTGGGGCACCAGACACTGCAGCAGAGAGCAGCAGCCTCGGACGATTGGTGAGCAGGGCCTCCTTCTGGAAGGCACTGAGGAGCTCCTGGCAAGAAAGAACCACACAGAACAGTCCCGTAAAGAAAGCATCATCCAGGAAACTTTGACTGAGCTCCTTCAGCACCATCTGGGGACACCATGGTGAGGCAGAAACAGGCCCTGCCCACAGCGTGTGAGGAAGACAGATGAGCCAGCAAGTAGGGATTTGCCAGAGGGAGGCAAATAAACTGCCTGAGGGAGACCAGGAGACTGCACCAAGAAGGCATCACCTAGAATAGAGGACTGGAGCAAGAACCCCACACAGACAGAGAAAAGAGCAACCACAGGACCCCTGTTCAGCAGCAAGTTGGCCCAGTAGCTCCAGTGTGATGGCAATAGAAGAACATTCTGGTTCTTCTCTCCTGCCCCTGGCCCGGCCTTGTGCTCCCCCTCTGCCATGAGCCCAAATATGATCAAAAGTAGAACCATTTCTGGATTCTGGAGCTTCCAAACTAGACTTACTTCAATTAAGAAAAGAAACTTCCATCGGTCATGCGTGGGGCTGTTCCTCAGTCCAGGGTATAAGAAGAAAAGGTCGAGACCATCAAAGTTGTGTGTCCTCAGGAGGGATATAGCTGAATTAATAAACTTTTCACGGTTGCCGAATGTGTGCAGCATAGAGGTGAACCTGCAGGGAGAGCAGGGCTGAGGCGACACAGCCACCTTCAGGGCCCCTTGCAAGTTTGCCTGTTGCCAAGGCGCTTGGCCTCTCCCTCCTGTCTCCCCAGTAACTACTCCAGTCCCTGTGCTGGACCTAGCACTGACATTCTTTCTCGGACTGGACTGGGGAGGAAACATAAGCCAATGGCCCACACTTCCAGAAGGATCAGTGAGCTCTTTTGGGCCTGGGCTACATAAATTGGCACAAGAGGTCAGGGATCTAATAAGGGGTTTCTGGTCCTTGGCCCTTCTCTTCATTTACTTAATTGATTTTTTTTTTCTATTTCAGTTTGTTTTCTCTTCCAAAGTGAAGATACTTTGGGGAAAAATTAGAACTACTTAAGCTGAATTTCAAGCAATTCTAGGAGTGCTCTGTGGATAATGATTAGAAAATAGCCAGACTCAGAGATAGATGGGCCTGGATTTCATTGTCTGCTTGCCACCTCCCAGCTGGGTGCTCTCTGACAGACACTTGGGAGAAATATGGCAAGTTCCTTAATACCTGGGCCTCTTCTTTTTCTGCTGTCTTGGAATACCAACAACCATTTAATAAGTTTCTCCCCAGTGGCCAAGAGGTAATGTGTACAGTTCTCAGCCCAGCATCTGGCATGTGGCACGTGTTCGAGTAGGAAAGGAGAAGCCTGGTTTCAGGCTGAGCCAGTTGTTAGCTCACACCTGAAATCCTTTCTCCTTCATATCTGAATATTCCTAGCAAGGGGCAACCTCACACATTCCAGGCCACCAGCTCTCTCTCTAAAAGTCCTGCCCCCAGGCCTCAGCCATCTCCACATTGCCTCATGGAGGGTGCAGGGTCGACCAGAGCACTAAGACGGGCGCTTTATTTGTTTCTTTTTCTCAAACACTGCCCTTTGTGGTGGATACCACTGGCTCCATTTATAAAGTGAGGAACCCCAGGCCCTTGAAGGGTTGGGTTTATATTTCTTGTCCTGAACAAAACTCCTCTTCTCAGAAACAAGCAAGACCCCTGCTTCTTATGGAGGCTGAGGGTTCTTTGTGAGTACCCTTTTTGCCTCTCATTTCCTTTCACTCCCTTTCTCACCAACTGCTGGAACTTCCAGCAAGACCCTCCATGGGCCCTTGAATCCAGGGTCAGATCAGGACTTGGGGAGGTGTCTGCAGTAGCTTTGCTGTCCTCGCAGCCAAGCTGGCTCCCACGCACGTCTAGCCTCTTGGCTCCACCTTCCAGAGAAGATGATGACGGCAGGGTCTCACCTCAATGTGCCAAAGTTCCACCCTCCGATGGACAGCAGTGTTTTCAGCTCCCTGTTCCTAGGATGTGAAAGAGAGGGTTACTACGCTGGGTCCTCACACCAGCAGGAAGCTACAGTCGTATTGGTTTTTCTTCACTCAATGGAATAACAACAGGAAATGAGGGATGGAAGACAGGGACAGGAAAGGGAGAAGGCTGGTGAAGGGAAGGAGAAAGAAGAGCACAGGATCAGGGAGGAAAGGAAAAGAGGGATTTGCAATTAACCCAAGGGTCATCACAGCCTCACAACTCCAAGGCCACACAAAGTTCACCAAAATCCCTATGTCCCATAATGTTTCCAGAACAAAAAGAAAGAGTAGTCTGAAATGTTTCTCTTCACTTATTTTCTTACCTGACAAATATTTATTGAGCAATGACTTTGTGCCACTGACTGAAAGCTCCTTACTTTCAGGGAGCTTGCAACCCTGCCCATCTATGGCCATCGGTGCAGTAACAAACCTTTCCTTGGGCAGGGAAAGAACCCAGAAGTTTTGGGAGGGGAGTACTTAAGCAAGCACTTACTGAGCACCAACTCAGTGCAGGTACTGACCTAACTGATTGACTGGGAGACCTAGAGATAAAGAAGGCACTGTCCCTACCCTTGAAGAGCTTGCAGCTTGGGGTTTACAGGTGACAAATGGTAATAAAGACACTAAACATTTGTTGAGCATTTGCAATGTCCATGCCCGCTTTGAATCACTTTAACATCATTAATATCTGAAATCCTCACATGGACTCAAAGGGTGAGTCGGGGTTTGCTAGGCAGAGAGGAGAGAGATCATGTTCCAGGGGGAGACAACAGCAACTAGCAAGGCAAGGAGGCCAGAAGGAGCTCAAGGTCTTCCGGTAACAGGGAATTCTTAAATTCGGAATGCTTGAGGATAGGGCTGGAACAACCAGAAGAAAGAGAGCAACTGGAAGAATGGGCTTAATTCCCTTATATCTATAAAGTCTGAAAATACAACCCCACCTCCAATATGAACATACCTCTCCTTGAGTTTGTTGAACTGTGGGTAGAGAATTTTTTCATCTTGGAGAGTCTGGGGAACAATCTGATTGTTGCTCATTGAGGCAAAGGCAAATATCAGGTGGGTGCAGAGAAAGGGGTCCAGGTCAAGGGGGAAGATGGAGGCAGATTCAGGGCGTCCAGGTGCCCAGTTGGTGAAATAACATACCAGCTTGTAGGCAGCACCTGATCAGGGACAGCATGCATTAGTTGGCAGAGATCAAGGGAGGGGGCAGGGCCAAGAGGCCACTCTTCCCATCCACATGCCCCAAAGCTTTTTGAGGTCCGGTCCCTTCCCCACTACTGAAGTTCTGGGAGTGGGGAGATGAGTTGTGAAGTCCTGTTCTAAATGGACCCTCAGGTCTGGATCCTGACACAACAGTGAGCAACACAAACTGCAGGTGATCAAACTTCCTCTGCAGAGCTGCATGGAATCAGTAATCCCCCATCTAGGCACCTGGGCAGGATGGGGCTGCAAGGGACACTCAGTGCAGATGACTTAACAGCCAGAGAATCTCCTTGGCTCTGGAGGGGAGAACACAATTTTCTTACCTTCCTGGTGTTTCAGTACAAGAAACAGAGCTGCAGGAAAGAAAGAGTCACACACAGATTTGTGTACACATCCAGAGTGGGATGCCCTACATACCATCCAGTTAGCAAGTGCCCCCACCAACGGGGCACCATGTCCAGATGCAGATGCACACATGGGGACACACATACCATTCACACATTTCCTCTCCTCTGAAGTTGAGCCAGTGGATCTAGATCTACATTCCTCTTCTCTCTAATAAAAAGTACTGTACACACACACTTTGCACAGGGACAAGGAGTTAGACGTCCCAGTGAAAGCTCTAAGCCAGTGGATGGAAAGTAGAAGGTACTGGTATCCTGGCTCTTCCCTCGGAGATTCTGATTTAATTGAGCCAAAGTGGAACTCAGGTTTAAAAATGCCAAATATGCAACCAGGTTGGAGAACCACTACTTCCATCCTCCCCCCTCCCGGTTATCTCTGACCCTTCACTATATTCCAACCCATCTCTATCTAATCCAGACCCCCCCAGAGTCCCAGGCTGGCTGCTCTACTGAACACTGAAGGGACAACAAACACATGAAGGCTGGTAACTCCCGACTGAGTGACATTGCTGGAAACTGTCAATACTCACCAACCCATAGCCACAACTTCCCCATCTCGGTGGTTTAACAGCTGTGAGGCCAAAGTTTGGGCCCATTTATAGGAGCTAGCTGTAGCCCTGAACAGGCCAACTACATACACACACACACACACACACACACACGCCAGGATCAATGATTTATGAGAGTCACAGTGACCCCAGAACCTCCTGTCCTCCCTCTCCAGAATAGCTGTAGATCTTGGAGCCAACAAAGTCGCAGCCCTTGGCTGACACAAACTGAGTGTCCACCATGCACAATGGCAAGGGTAGGGCAGCATTCCTGAGCTCTTCCTGGTTCTCAGTCTCACTTCCTGGTATTCGGCCCCAAGTGGACCGAGTATGGTGGAGAAACACTGTATGAAAATAGTTAAGTCTTTTTTTTTTTTCAAAGAGAGAGTGAGAGACAGAGAGTAAAGAGAGAATTTTTTAATATTTATTTTTTTAGTTATCGGCGGGCCCAACATCTTTGTTTGTATGTGGTGCTGAGGATCGAACCCGGGCCGCACGCATGCCAGGCGAGCGCGCTACTGCTTGAGCCACATCCCCAGCCCCGAAAATAGTTAAGTCTACTGTTACAAGTTTATTGGTTGGGGAAACAGTGTGATATAAACTTTAAAAGTTCAGCTTGGACTCAGACTTTTGAATCCAAGACTTGAATCTCACTGTCACTGTTTAGAAGTTTCATAATCATGGACAAGTTACTTAGCCTCTGTGAGATTCAGTTTATAAAATGGAGGTAACAGCTCATACTAATCTTACAGGGTTTATAGAGATTAAAGAAGTAATGCATGAAAATTGTTAGTTCAGTGCTTTGCACTCAAGGGCTCAATGAATGGTTGCTATTATTAGGGATGTCAAAAGGGTTACCCAAAAGAGCTGGATTCTCAAACTCAGATGTTGACACTCACCAGGCAGGTCATGTAAACATGTCAAATGGAGCACTCTTTACATTATTTGAATAGCAGCTGAACCCAGAGACAATATCTACAGACATGAAGCCTCTTAGGAGACAACGGAGATAAGTATGATCAGGGGCAACTCTGAGCAGCTCGCAATGGTTGTCCTGCAGGGAAATGGGCCCAGGATTGATAGATCCTTTGACTTCTCCACAGAAGACAAAAACCTGCATTTGTATGAATCAACAGTGTTTGAGCTAGTATATGGGTCAGTAATGAGAATGTATCATGAATCTCAAGAGGATGCTAAATATAAAAAAAAAACTCTAGAATTCACAAGGTAAAAAAAGAACATGGTAAATATGATACCGGATAACTGAGAATCAATTTTTTAAAAATATAGAAACAGTATGAAGATAAACAAAACAGATCTGTCAGTCAGATGCTTTGAGGATTCGTCAGTTTTCTTTGTCTGATGCAGAAGTTCTCAACCATGTACACATCCTCTCAGAAACTGGTGCTGCTAATCCACGTGTACCAACATGAGGTACTAAGCAGATGTCAGTGTAACACACGACAGGGAATAATAATGACAGTGATCAAATCTCCAAAATATCTATCTTCATTTCTAGTATGAAGAAACCAGGAAAGCTGTTGTTTTAAAATCAGTAGCTTGCTTGGATACAATGGAATAAAGATAATCAATGGTACAGAATGTTTGGAGGGGATATTTCACTGAAACTCTGGGAAATCCTGATGGACTGCACCCAACCAAGATGATGTGTCCATTTGTTCACCATCTTTTCCTTCCATTATATACTCAATAAACAATTCAAAAAATATTCTTTGGGCCTGTGCCAGGCCCTGCTGGGTACTAAAAACTTAGCTTCTTCTTTCAATGACCTTGTGGTCTAGTGAACAGATTGATCATGTCCCCAGAGCTGATGTGTGTCTTTTTGGAGAAGTAGCATTATGGGTGCAGTGAGGAAAACAACAACAACAAAAAGTTTTCTTGTCAGACATGGTATCCCATTCCTACCATATACCATACCTGGGGCCAAGTGGGTCTCACCTGTGCCCTCCATACCTTTAACTACTATTAGCCTGAATAAAGAGATGAGAATTACACCTCCTGAGGTCCATACTGGGTCAGACTTGGCAACAACTTCTACCACTGGGAGGAAGATTCCTGGTGTGTTTAGTAACTCCAATGACCATGCTCTTACTTGCTTTCCAATTCCTACTTGCCTGCCCTAATTCTTGTTACTGGGTCTGTTTTGATGTCTGTTCCTGTTCTGCAACCATTAGCTCACAGTTGGTTCCTAGGGTCTGGGGCCCGAGTCATCCCAGGCTCCTTCTACTGAACAGCCTGAGGCCTCACTGGCTGTTAAGACCTTCTTAATGTGGAAAGCCTGCCTCTCTCTACTTCTCAGGCTCCCTACCCCACACTGCATCCCCTGCCACCAGAGATTCCACATCACTGAGGTTCCCTACTAAGTTTGTGCCCTTCTACTCACACTTCAGCCAGGACCAGCCATTAATGATCTATCCATCACAGAAGCCAAATTTCTTTGCCAATCTGAACCTTGTTCATCTGCACCTGAGTGGGTTCTCTGGGCTCCTATCCTACTGCAGGGCTTGTGCCTGGATCTCAGACCTGACCTCTCCTTATCGAAAAAAGTGATTGATGATGCCAAGACTGCCAAAATCTAACAATGGGAGCCCAGGAATGACCTCTGCTTAACTCAGGGATGACAATACCAGAGTTGGCAATTACAACTCTGTGTGTATAGCAAATGATGAATAATGAAATGCTAAATGAGGGTTATGTCGAAAATCAGTGTCATCTTGCTCTGTTTGCTCACAATCCTCTCCCTTGAGTTCTTGCTGTCAAAGGGAAAAATAAATGCAATCAATGCTTTTTCTTACCCCACCGGGATACTTGGAAAATATCCCTCCTCAGTGCTTAGCCTATTCTCCCGACATTTACAAATGTATTTTACTTGAGAACTAAAGAAATTCTTACAATCAAGTAAAAAAATTCACACATGTAGCTCAGAGTAACTGGCAAGAGTTTATTGAAGGGATAGGCAAAGAGAAAGGGGGCACTCTCCAGGAGGAGTGGGTCCTCTTAGAGAGGAGAGGGATGAAGGACACCCTCATCATTATACAAAATATATGTATGAAGATGTGAATTTGGTGTTAACATACCTTATATATAATCAGATATAATAAATTATTGTATAATGAGGTGTATTAAGAATTGTAATGCAAAAAATAAATAAAAAGAGGGATGTGTGCCTCTTCTGCACTTATTTTATTGGGGATCCCAGATAAGTTTCCAGAGGCCCACCCAAATTCATCTCTTAACCTTTGACTGACAGCAGAATGGTATTAGACTTTCAAGTCTCCACTACCATGACAACTTTAGGTCGCTTAGGCTCATACTGACTGGTTCTAATTGGATTCTTAAACATATATTTATTTATGTTCAAATATTGTTATCTCCCAAGTTTAAGGAGCTGGTTTGTAAAAAAAAAAAAAAAAAAGGTCACAAAGTCTCCCCCTTCAGGTTAACTTGGTTCCTCTTATTGACATTATTTCAGGCCTGTATTTCTCCTATGGCTAACAGGTAGTTTGCTGGGGAATGTAACATATCCTGTTCACTTAAGCCAGGCAGGGCTGCAAATAAATTGCTTTTGCAAAAGAAAGCATGTGGGGGACCAGCACAGTAAGCCCAGTTTACAGAACTGTGTTCCCACCACTGACATTTGTTCCCTAACACCCACATCTCCTGTCGTTTCTAACGTGCTGTCCTGAGGAAACATGACTAGAGGTTCCAGCAATTAGAGCTTGGGTGTTTCTGATGCTGTAATGTGATTGTGAACTGGTTACATTCCCTGAAGCTAGTGAGATCCCTGAGAATCAGCCCAATGTCTGACACCAGCTGAATCTGGGTAAACCTTCTTCAGTGTTCTTTGGTTCCAAGTATTACTCAAGGAGTGAGCCTTGAATAGTCCTTGCCAGAAATCAGCAGTGGAATACAGTGGATTAGGCAATAGTGGACTTCAGAATAATTAAATTGAATGGATTCACTTTCACGTTCAAATATTCGAATCAGTGAAATTAAATGCAAGACATTTTCCTTTTTTGTGTATATGTGTATATATATATATAAATTTTTTTTTAGAAAAATGACCTCTGCTTAACTCAGAGATGACAATACCAGAGTTGGCAATTACAACTTTGTGTGTATAGCAAATGATGAATAATAAAATGCTGAATGAGCTTTATGTCGAAAATCAGTGTCATGCTGCTCTGTTTGCACACAATCCTCTCCCTTGAGTTCTTGCTGTCAAAGGGAAAAATAAACGCAATTAATGCTTTTTTTATACTCTACCTGGATACTTGGAAAATATCCCTCCTCGGTGCTTAGCCTATTCTCCTGACATTTACAAATGCCTTTTCCTTGAGAACTAAAGAAACTTTATTGCTTTGCTACTAAAGGAAATACACTGGGGACACCTGTCCCAGAGTCTGCCATTCTACCTATCGGGGAGAACAGAAGAGCTTTTCAAGAGGTGATTCAAAGGCTACACTCCCCTTGACCCCACCATGTGCCTGAGTAGGGTTACAACTCACTGGTTAATTTTGGACTCAACACAATGCCTTTATTTTTATGTGGTGCTGAGGATTGAACCCGGGTCCCACCGGTGCTAGGCAAGCACTCTACCGCTGAGCCACAATCCCAGCCCCTCACTGGTTAATTTTGGAGATTCCTATTTCATGTGGTGGGTGAACACCCAAGGACAAAGAGGTGATTTAAAGGCAACATCCCCACCACCACCACTACCACCCACACACCCACCCCTCCACCACCTTGTGTCTAACAGGGGTCAAAATTCACTTATTAATTTTGGAGATTTCTACTTCATGTGGTGGGTGTCCTCAGGACAAGATTACTCAGCCTAGATAGGGAAGAAGGGTAATCCTGCACCCCCTCCCCAAGATCAGGGTGTTTGTATGCTTTTAAACAAAGCGATTCCATTGCTCCCTGTTGTAGGTAAATTCCATGCTCACTCTACTGAAACTCTTCTCATGACAAAGACCTAGTAGACAATTGCCCCAAATGACATCATACTCCTGATTATTTTGAGGTCACCTTCTATTTTGAACTATCTTCTTGGCTCACCATAACATACACTGAAAATTGTGCTGGTCCCTCCTGCGTTACTTTGATTATGTTTTCATATGTCTTGTGGTAATCATTAACAGAAGTGAATTACTCTCATCAGCACAGATAAGGTCTGAAGCCAAAGATGTTTTCCTTCTTGTAAAAC